TGTGCAGAGATGGAAGCTCCACTCGCGGCGGCGCCGGGAGACCCCAAATACGTCTGCAGGGTGTAACTGCCCACCAGGTAAGGAGCTCTGCAGACAGTGAGGTTGAGGCATTCCTAAGAGGGGACCTCACCCCAGAGGCTTCTCACAGGGGTGATCCTCTGGCCACACCCCTGATCAGGGCATCACTTTTCGTTTGAAAGGTGGGAATGATAATATCAGTCCTGTTTACCTTCCGGCTACTCATTGATTGACCATCCCCCAATCCATCCATCCATCATCCATCCCCCATCCATCCATCCCCCAATCTACCCATCTCTCTCTCCATCCATTCTTCCATTCTTCCCTTCATCCCTCCCTCCCTTCTTCCACCCTTCCATCCCTCCCTCACTCCTTCCATTCATCCATCCTTCCATCTATCCATCCAGCATCCATCATCCATCATTCATTCATCTCTTCTGTGAGCCTGACCCTGTGTGCACCAGGTTGTTGTGAAAGCAGATAAGATGACAGCTGTGGCTACATTTTGGAAAGTATGAAGTGCTATGCAGAGTGAAAGGGAACATAAGCCCCATGAGGGCAGGGACCTTGCTCATCACACTCACTCTTGTGTCTGCAGCTCCTGCCTCAGAGCAGGCATACAAAAATGTTTGTTACCTGAATGAATGACTCCAGTGAATGAAGCTTGTTTGTCCCAGCTAGGTGACTAAGGGTTATGTGTGTTCACTGTATGGTATCTAGGCTAAACACACATGTATACACAGTGGACACAAGAGATAAAGGGGTCTGAAGCTGAAGGCTGGGAGTGATGTGGTGTAATAAAGTTAACCTGTCTAATCTAGATTCAAATTAGGGCTTTGAACCGGTTCACTGATGGCCGATGAAGCGAAACCAGAAGAGACTGGAATTTTTTAAATTTTGGGTGATCTGGAATGGTCACCAGAACGGGAAAAATTACACATCAAAGCCCTGAAATGGAAAACTTGGAAGAGACATAGTGAGCCCTCTCAGGAGTCTGATGTGTGAGACTGTATTCTCGCCAGGACTGTGGAGAGTGATACACATTCAAAGCAGTGTGATCTGCCACCGTCTTTGGGTGGGGCACCACTGTTTTCAGATCCGAGGGGCAAGAGATTTGGTTGCTGTGCAATGCATGTGCTGCCCTTGTTTTCTAAGAGAGAGATTAAGTTTCTAGCGGGGCTTTGACCTGTAATTTTTTCCATTTTTGTTACTGTTCTGGTTCACCCAAATTTTCAAAATTCATGTCTGTGTTGCTTCCTTGGCCGTGACTGAAACGGGCAGAACTTTGAAGCCCTGATTCACATTCTGCTTTTGCCGTCGACAAGTCCTGTAATGGACAGATCACTTACCAGGGGTGCCTATTCTAGTGCTGTTTCTCCTATATCATCTGGCCTCCTCCTCCACCGCGGTTATTCATCTGTTAACAGCTACATACTGAGTGCCCGTCCTGTGCTGAGCACCACGCTGGACATTAGCTTCAATTGTACTGTCCACAGTTAATAACATGAAGAAGTTCTAGTTCCTGAGAACTTGTCTAGATACCTGACCATTATTATTAAGCTATGAGAATGATCAGTGAGTGAGTGTCACTGCTCGCTGGAATAACTGGGATGCTGTTCCCCTTCGGGGTGGGGAAAGAAGCCCTAAAAAAAAGGTTAGGGGATAGGGTGGTGAAACTGTTCTATGTGATACTGTAATGGTGGACACATGACATTATGCGTTTGTCAAAACTCAGGATGGTACAACACAAAGAGTGAGCCCTGATGTGAACTATAGACTTTAGTATAATGAACCAATATTGCTTTGTCAATTGTGGCAAATGTACCGCGTGAATGCAAGAGGTTAATAAAGGGAGAAATGGTGTGCATGGGGGAGGGGGAAGTAGATGGGAACTCTCTGTACTTTTTGCACAATTTTCTTATAAACCTTAAACTTCTCTAAAAAAAGAATTGGGGATGGCAAGGTAGTGTGTTTAAGTAATCACTGCGGGTTTTGGCCTGTTCTGGGTCTTTGCCGATCAGAGTGTGGCCCCCTTAATACCAGCTGTGGGCAGCTGGGCAGCAGTAGGAGCAGAGGGGCCCTGGTCACCCTCATTCTGGTCCCCAGGCCAGGGAAGAGAGACCGACAGATGTTGAGCATATGGGTGAGGATGGAGGGACCACATTCCACCGCAGAGTGAGTGGGAGTGAGTGAGCTGGGGTAGGATGCTGTCCCAGGAGATGGTGAGGCCATGAAGGGATTCAGCCGGCCACCGTTAGATGGGGGTCATCTGGGTTAATTAAAAGGGTGTCCAGAAGCCCTGGGAAGCTCCCTCCTCCCTCTGGGCCCGGGAGATGGGCCCTGGGATCTGGGAAAGCTTTCTGGAGAGGAATGTCAGGATTAATGAGATGAGATGAGGGTGAGGGTGGGTGCAGGGCCTGGGCAGAGTGATCATGTGCTTCAGGTTCCTGGGACAGTAATTGCTGTCCCCATAACTCTCTGGCAGTTGTAACAGTTTTACACTAAAGGTGTAGAATGCTGGGTAAGGGCAGGAGATTTGGAGCCGTGGAAGAGAGATTTGAATTCCAGCTCTGGCTTAGCTTTAAGGAGCTATTTAATCTCTCTGTGCCTCAGCTGCTTTGTCTGAAAAACAGGGGCGCTACTCACCTCCTAAGCATATGGTGAGATATGTGAGATAATTCTGGAAAGTACATAGCACCTTGCCTGATTCTTAGCAAGTGTTACTATTATTGTTATTACTATTTCCTCAACTGCCTTTTGCACTTAAAAGATGTCCAGAAATCCATACCAAGCATTACATCCTGGTGTTTGGGGCAGGCTTGCCCTTCCCCTTGCCTGCCTGACTGGGGAACCCACAACAGCTGCCTAATGTCCTCAATGTACTGCCGGCCATTGGAGTGAGCACCTGACAGATGTCTTGGTGTTGTGCTTCAGGAAGTCAGGCTAGGTGGTCCTGGGGAAGCTGGGAGGGAGGTGACAGGGGGGAGGGAGGATTTGGCAAAGGGCTTCATCTCCTCCTCACATGTGGGAACTGTGTGGGACCCAGGGGTCTTGAAGGTGGGGAGAAAGCTGTGGAGAGTGTGAGCAGCTCCGGCGTTGGAGGGAGGGCGCGATGGGAGAAGGAGGGGCTTGAAACAGGTCCTCTGCGGAGACTGGGGAAAAGGAGGAACAAGTCACCGTGAGGACAAGGCGGCCAGGAGAACAGAGGACAGAGAGCAGGGGCTCCAGGGAGGGGCACCTCAGGGTGTTAAGGAATTTCCCAAAGGGCACTTTAGCACGAAGGGCAGAACCAGGGGTTCTGTTGTTGTTAGTTGTCCACGTGTGCAGAGTAGAACTGCCCCTTAGGGTTTTCAAGGCTGTGACCTTTCAGAAGTAGATTACCAGGCCTTTCTTCCGAGGTGCTTCTGGATGGGTTTGAACCACCAATGTTTCGGTTAGTAACCCAGCGCTTAACCATTTATGCCACCCGGGACTCCGAAGCAGGGGGTAACAACAGAGAATTTAAAGAGAAGGCCCCAAATTGAGGCAAAATCTGAAGGGGACAAAGATGTTCTCCTGGCTCTTTGGAGAGTCAGACAGAGCACAGAGTGGTGTCAGACCCTAGGATCCTGGGGTAAAGGCATGGGCTCGGCCTGCTGGGCCCCAGGGCCTGCCGCCTTCTGACCAACCTGAGGCTTGTCACCCCGTAGCAAAGCGCCCTCCTGGACATGAAAGCCAACCTGTTATGAATGATAACAGTTATTGTCGCAGCCCCCTAACTGAGCCCCTACTGTGTGCCAGGCGCAGTACTGACACTTTGTATCAATGGTGGCCTTTCCCAGAACGCCAACCATAAGCAGAGTGGAGTTCTGACATCCTGAAATGTTTCCAAAACACGCTGCCATCGAGTTGATTTCAATTCGTAGTGACCCTATAAGACAGAGTAGAGCTGCCCCCATAGGCTTTCCCAGGCTGTAAATCTTTACGGAAGCAGACTGCCACATCTTTGTCCCATGGAATGGCTGGTGGATTTGAACCGTTGACCTTTCAGATAGCAGCCAAGCACTTTAACCACTGCGCCACCAGGGCTCCCCTGAAATGTTTGCAAGCCCCCGAATTCTTAACTAAGACACCTCTCTTATTCCTGTACCTAAATCCTGCATCTCGGATTATTTCCTTAGGAGCAGAGTTTATAAACCACTTTATGAACAGCTTTAAGACTTCTGATAACTGTGGAGGGACCCAACCATTTGTAAAGTGCCCCGTTACTCACTTTTGTCTTGCCAGCACCTAATACTGTGCCCGCCCATAGTAGAAGCTCAATAAATTATAATCAGTGGTCATCTGGCTCGGTTGCCTTCTGTCTGCCGTTCTCCATCTGCCAGCCGTTTGGTTTCTGACCCCCTCCCACCACTGTGAGTCTTGCCTGATGCCAAACTCGCCACTGTTGGAACACAATAAATAAACACACACTCTTCTGCCCACTGTGCCTGGCTGGGATCGGAGCCCAGAGCCCCAGCCCCGTGCCTGCCCCCAGTTCGCCTCTGTGGCCGGCTGGGCTGAGGCCGGAGTCCTGTGGTGGGTGTGTTCTTCCTTGTGGCAGCCTGCGGCCCTGGGAGGCACCCAAAGGGCTTGGGACACCTAATCTTGGGCAGAAACCTACCTCCTTCCCTTCCTACTCTGACCCTTGCCAGCATCCTTCTGGGATCCTCCCTGTCCCAAAATAGCCATCTTCTGCCTGAGGTCTGGCTGCATCCTGCTTCTCAGCTGTGCACACTCTTTGCCAGCCGGCGGAGCGGTGGGCCTACAGGCCTGGGGCAGGATGCCAAAGGCCGGGCCTCATCAGAAGAGCCACAGCAGCCAGAGGTTCGGAGGAGTAGGTGTGGGCCATTTGCAAGCCTCCCGCCTGGTGGGGCGGGGGAAGGGCCCTGGGAACATACACACTGTGGGACTTCCCAGGCCACTTGAGAAGAATACAAAAATCAGGGAAACTGTCTCATGTTCTCTCCCTGTTCTTATAAGAAATGAGGAGCCGGACAATATAGGCTCCAGCAGGTGAGGAAGCAGCTACTTCAGGTCA